ACCATGACATAACTCAACAAAATGGGTTACCTCTGGGACAAAGAAACTCAGCAAGTTCAATGGCAAGAACTTTAAGCAATAAAAAATTTGCAGATCAAGTAGCATGTACCAAATGAGTTACATCTACCTCTCTCGATTCAAAGCTTACAAATATAATCCAAACAATAGTTATACACTTTCACAGTGTGAACATTGCACAATTGGCAATATGAAAGCCTAATTAGCAATATAAAAGCCTTCACACTATAAAAATATCACAAGTTAGCACAGCAAGTTATTCCCCAAACTTACTATTCATCACTTTCAGAGAGATTGTAGCAGCTGCATATTTTTAGAGAACAACAAAAGAAAACATAAAGTAAAGGCAGCACTTAATGAAAAATAAAGTAACAGGAAGTTACCAACAGCAGACATAGCTAAAGCCTATTCCCACCATTATACTACGGCAAAGCAACACTTGTTCGCTCTTACTGATAAGAGAAACATTCAATTAATTAAAAACAAGGAAGATTTACATACATACCACTTAATTCTGATGAATTTACATATCTAAGACTTAAAATTTAATTTTTATATATATACCACCTTATGCATGAAAATTTGTATTTCACTTTTTAAGAGTTAAACTAATGATATTGTTTATGTGATATGAAAGATTTGGGTGGTGTAAATGCAAAAAAAGTAAACTTTCGGTGTTATGTATGTAAATACAGAGGAATTGGATGGTACGTATGTAAATGCCCCATTAAAAAACATAACATCGATTGAAAAGTAACTAAATGACATTATATAGAAAACATAAAGCAGGAAATAAAAATAGTTAACAAACAGGTTTTTAAAACAAGAGTAATCCCAAACAGACCCTTTGATAATGTTGAGGCTTCCAAATATTATTATCCTTAAATTCTCCTTAATATTATTTATTGCTTTCTAATGCTGGTGAACCTGAGCGTTTTGAAAACAACGTAGATTAAGAATAAGGAAGATTTACATACATACTACTCAATTCCTATGTTCACGGCCAAGCTGAGAGGCAACCTGGAAATGACGGTCGCTGTTTTTTGACTGTGAGGCAACCTGGAACTTTATGACAAAATGAAAAATAGTTAAGACATTTTGCAATTGATAAAATAAAATTGGTTCATATATCTTGGCAAAATTGTGTTGCAAAGTTGTGTTGCCTTCCAAAATTAAGAGTAAGAATAATCATCTTAATTTTTAGGCATCATTTTATATTCTTATCTTAAAATGGTTGCAAACTTGTGTTGTCTTCCAAAATTAAGAGTAAAAATAATCATCTAAGGCATCATTTCATATTCAAAAACTTGTGTTGTCTTCTAAAATTAAGAGTAAGAATAATCATCTAAGGCATCATTTCATATTCTTATCCTAAAATGGTTGCAAACTTGTGTTGTCTTCCAAAATTAAGAGTAAGAATAGAGTGCACCACAATGAGAGAAGAGCTTCATAAAGAAGAAAATCAGAAATGAAAACCGAAATCTGAAGTCCAGTAGGTTGGGGCAGGCATCTCTCAAAGCACAGACATAATATGGGGCATAAAATGTAACAATTGGATACATTCAGACCACATCAAAACTCTCTCAAAGCACAAAAATATCATGTAGGTACTAAAAATTAGCCAATAATATGTAACAATTGGATAAATTCAGATATAATCAGAGTTTAGGATGAATAAGCCATAAAATGTAACAGTTGAATACATTCAAATATAATCCAAACAGTACTTATTCAAAAGATGCATAATAACATGACCATTACAACTGAATTTTATTGGGGATCCTGCTCTGTTTGTTCCTCTTTATAATGGAAAAAAGAAGAATCTAATAGAAACAGTAGCTACTAGCCCTTGCATTAAAGAGGTTGCTATCAAGTTGCTACAACAAATGCAAGAATATCTATACCAAGAATATCAACTGTAGCTACAGTAAATACAAGAATATCAATTGGTGGAAGAATATCAACTGGATCTCTACATCAAGAATATCAACATCAACTAATTCTATCAAGTTGCTACAACAAATGCAAGAATATCTACACCAAGAATATCAACTGTAGCTACAGTAAATACAAAAATATCAATTGGTGGAAGAATATCAATTGGATCTCTACATCAAGAATATCAACATCAACTAATAAAACAATAGCTACAGTAAATACAATAGCTACAGTAAATACAAGAATATCAACTGGATCTTTACATCAACTAATAAAATAGGAGAAATTAAACATTGCTCCGACAATAAACGGATTAGAAAACCACACAGGATCTATACACCAATTTATATTAGCTCACTTGAAAATCCAAACAGGAAAACATAATGAAAATACAAGCATGAACTCAAGTATTCATCTTACATAACGTTTGGAAAAAAGATGTTATTGTTTTGAAAAACCAAAGGAAAGAAACATAGTATTCTTCACAAAAAAAAAATTCTGATCTAGAAGCAATAGCCGAACCACATGAATCACTGCACAAATATACCGAACTAAATTTCACAACAAAATACTTATATCAGATCTCATCCATAGAAAAAAAAAACAAATATATAAATGCAATATGCGAGACTACACTGCCATTCTGCCAAAACCCTACGAAGCTAGGTTTCCCTAAAAAAATCCAAATAAATCTAAAATAAATTCTAAAATAAATTTAAAAATCTAAAATAAATTTAAGTAAATATAAGATAAGAGGCGAACCCGAAGATAATATGAAATATTAGAGAGAAGATAATCAGAGATAACACCTAGGTAGACAAACAAGCGACCAAGCTTTGAATACCGAGCAATCGAGCAAACACTGACTATTCGAAGAGAAATACAAGTAGATATTAGAAGGCGAACGGAGACGACAAACCCTAAGTTGTTGCGGCCGAAAGGATTTTCGAGATAAGAACGAGAAGAGTAAGAGGGAGAGTGGGAGAGGCGGCCGAACCTGAGAAAGTTCGAGAGAGGAACGGGGAGGTGGGGTAAGGGGTTAGGGTTTTCTAGATAGTATTAGTATATATGTTAAAATATTTCAATTATAAAACTAATATTTTATTATTATATAAATATATAATACGTATACAAGTAATAGTAATATATTATTATTAATATTTTGTTACATATTATAATTTATAGAATTAAATTTTATAAAATATGACAATTTATTATTTTAAAAAAATTAATT